AGGGTGCACCACGTGGCGGTAAGTCTATCGCACACCCCGAGGTGGAAATATAAGAGTCGCTTCTTTTGATCAGGCAAAGTACATTCGAGTTCTTATTGAGATAATTTAAAACGCCCATTACATTATACTTATCACCTAGAAACAACTGACTTGAAATGGAATGATGGAATATTATCAATGAAGCAAAAAATGGCAAATTGTAATTTCAAATTCCCGTATCATACAAATGTGTGACAGATTAATCTCTATGGGTAATTATCCTCTTTGGAGATGAGCACAGTAGGGTGTTGCTTAAAACAGTTCAAGCAAATCGGAAAAATTAAATTTCACTTTTCTCCTCTTCTCAAATTTTCGGATGTATGCAAATGAAAGTGCGATTTAAAATTCAAACCCAACTAGCTCTAAACCTATCATATCTTGGTTGAATGTGGTTCACATGTTCATTTATCCCATTTATATAACTCTTCAATAATCCCTAAGTATCGAAATCTGCACTTTCCTAAGCCAATTAACATGTGGAACACTTTAAGTGAGCATGGGAATTTAAGTCTCCGTAGAAATTTTCAGATCAATAATTTTAAAATTGCTCGCTTAGTGTTCTCTCTGTACTCTAACGTAATTATCAACTTCTACATGGCCTCATCACATTTCATTCATTCACTGTAAGTGAATTGTTGTTTTGGTACCTTCCACTAGCTTAATACTGACGGATTATAATGGGCAATGCTATTTCCAGGAAAAATACTCGTTGGAATTAGTCCAAATCGACAGCGAGATCTGTAATATCTTATATATGGGGGGGGGGGACAGAAGAATGCTTCAAAGACGAAGGTAGAAAAAAGGTGAGGTGAGTACTGTGAAAGTAGTCGAATATGGCATACAGTGGGATCATGGCAGTTTGAAGTCAGAAGTCAACTATTATATTATTGGTTATCAATATGCGTGTATGCTCTGACCAGTATGTGATAATTTTAAACTTAGACTTAATTCAATAAGCAAAATTCAAATTAGCATTACCAATTGAGATCCATTGGAGTAAACTACGTTGATTTTGAATTTCCTATACTCGTCTCATTGTAACTTCTCATTTTTGGTGAATGACCTCACCGGAAAACTCAGTGGTCGAACCAAGACAATTTAGACATTGGACATTTGTGAGAAATCAGGCAATTTAAAACATTATTTATGCTGTAATGACGTGACTGTTCCGATTAAACTTTTACCAAACTGCTTCTCTTATTTAAATGCCTTCAGTCATTGTGGAAACATGTAAAAGATACTTTGCATTGACATTGACAGGAGTAATCGCAACTGAATATCCTGCCAGATTTCACCAGGCAGCAAAGACAGCCTATTTTTTCAAAAATGGATGGCTTTTTTCTCGTTTTACTTAAATTGTCTTTTTGGCAGAAATCACTGGAAAATATTTTATTCATGAATATGGAAGCTGTGGGAGACAATAGACTGTAGAGGACACCGGAACTCGATGCAACCAACCAGCATCGATTAAAACTGGAATCAATTTCACCAAGTTTATTTTTTTAATAGTTTCTTAAAGTATAATTTAGCCATAAGCCAACTCTACTAGGCTTCAATAATATTAAGGTAACTTTACTTGTCTCATCGCCCTCCACCCCCCCCCCCCCCAAGTCCTGGTTGTAATCAGATAAGCGTGTGTATAAGTGGTATGACTGATCATTCAACCCTGGGATTAAACCAGAAAATTACATTTTTTTGTATAATTTAATATTAAAATAAATTTGAAAATAAAGTAAGTCTCCAGACATCATTATAATCCCCCCCCCCTCTCACCCACTTCCACCAATGCTATTTCGACCCTGCTATGCCTATTGAATATTTCTTTGCATAGTCGATGTCGATTGGGAATTACTTGAAGAACTGCATAGCAATGATTTGATTTCGTCTATTAAAATACAGCCTAATGCAGAATCCGCTTATTTAGGATAATCATTGGTAAAATTAGTTTGAGAAGTTATCATTTGTTAATAGTCAATTTTGCTTAATTGTCTTTTTTTAATGATTTCTTTCAAACACATACATAGTACACCATTCATACACTCGAGGTTTTGCGTCTGCACAATTTGCAGCTTATAAAAGCACAATTCTCTGCTTGAAAAAAAAGTTGCAAAAACCTCGTGTGGCGTTATTGTCAAGTGATAGAGAGAGAGAGGTTGGGAGAGGAGTGAAAGAGAGAAAGAGATTCTCGTACTTACTCACTTGGAATTCAGAAGGGCTGATGATAAGGCAGTATATCACAATAGAGAGCGATCATATCATTTGACACAAGATTATTTATTTTTGTACTTTTGATGAGTGCTCTTGCAGAAGCAGATGAAAGGGACTGAAAAGCCATAGGTAGCTTAAATTACCACCCTTTTACCATTTCGACTAGAAATACACTATCTGTCCTGTCCAAAAAGCTCGTAAATGTATATATATATATATATATATATATATATATCCTGAGTAGAACCGTCTTGCTGGTAATTTTATGTTTATTATTAAATATTCTAGAGTCAATGACTATGAAGAATAAATATGTTGGCTGTATTCTGATTCAAACTTGCCTTTAACGCATTACCAAATGCATTTAGAAAAAGAAATGAAAAAAAATGATATAATTAAGATTACGCAGTGAGTAATCGAAATTCTGCAGCCTGATTTAATTTGTGCCATTGGGAATTAGTTTGCACCGATGAGAATCGAATCCGTGACTTCTGACAAATAACACGTACACTGGTTGTCAATCCTCCACGGAAACCCAACACCCCCCCCCCTTTGTTTTAGGCAAGAATTACAACTTAAAACGCGCCTCCGTAAAATGACAATCACCAATTGCACAATAAGGGGCTGAAATACAAGCAATTTTATCTGACTTTTGATTTCGACTATTTTCAAACACATTTAGATGATAACGGCTCGATTGACCCATGCTATGAGCAGCAGTTTGTAAGACGTTGCTAAGACAGCACTCAAGTTCAATTTTAGAGCATAAAACACATTTTAATCAATAAGATTGATTTTTACCTTAGAAATATATAACCTTGCACTAACTATTGATCCATCGTTCTTTTCAGTAAGCAGAACTACAAAAGGTTGACAATCGACATTTTAGAAAAATTTTTGTTTCTAATTACGCGGTTATATTCAAAGTCTAATTCACTGTGACAAGCTATAAGGCCTTTAAACTTCCGAGTGAGTGAATAATACCAGTCGCCATAATATGATTGAATGATGATTTTATATACTAATAATTTTACAACATAGTTGAAAGTAAATAGGTACCTCGTGACAACAACGGGAACTAAGAGGAATATTAGAAATCTCCATAAAATAACTCACAGAGGTATAATCAAACATTCGATCAAATTGATATGCAGCCATTTAGGAGTGTAGGTAGAAAGAAATTGCACAGAAATTGGGAGATCAAATTTTGGAAAATGTGCTCCTTGTTAGAAAGTGAACATTTCAATGCCTCAAGAGTTCATGCTCGGTAAGAAATTTGAGTTTCTAAACTTAATATTGAATTTGCTGTATCTCTGTTTTTCAATTTTTTCTCACGATTAAAATTTTAAAGTGTTATTGGCATTTTCATGCAAAATAATGCTGAAATTTCCTGCCAAAACTACAAAAATGCCATATTATTGATAAAAAATTGTCTACACACCACCCGAATCGTTCGCACATTTGTCTCCTTTTTGTCATAATTTAAAATGGATTTCAAACAGACTATTAGTGTAATTGTGTTGTGAATTAAATTGTTGTGTGGAACTCACAGAAGAATTTGTCCATCCTTTCGGACCGGTGCGAAGGAGTCATTGGGATTCAGTTGAACGTGATCCAAAGCTGTCGAGCGACTTAATACCTTCGTCATTTCCGTCACCCAATCGGTTGGTCGTAGCGTTTTCATCTTTAGCTCGCTGTTGGTTCAAAAAAGGGCACAATTTGATATTTTTATTTGGCAAGAATTTGACGGACATATTCTTGTTTATTCTATTCAAATTGTATACTTTTTGAGGGTTTTTCTTGAAGTATTCAAAGCTTTCAGCGCCCAATCGCCACCTGAATAATTTGCAAACTTTTTGATAGTCTAACCAACTTTTACAACTAGATCAATAGATATCTTGACAGTTTTATTAACTATGTCTAGATGTAACGATAATAGTAAGTTATTACATTTTTAAATGATTAATTTTAGCCAAATTGGCTAATGTTTCAAGAATTACTTATATCTTCTCTATTAAAAACCAATTACTTGTAAAATGATTAAACTGAGTTTCCCAAATTGTTGACCACAATGTTTCAAAAAAGAAAGTTGGAACGCCTTTTCATTAAAACATGTTTAGTTTTTCACAATGCGTTATATTACAGATCATATTTGAGTAAGATTACTCAACTTGAGAAGAACCGATTATAAGTCTGCTTATATATAGACATTAAGGGGAAAGTGTTTCGAACAATTAATAAAATTAATTGACTGAACAATAAGCGCTGAAAATTGTAGGCTGAAATAACTCGGTTTAAAGGATTCCGACATTTCCAATTCATTCTAGGGTCTGGAACTGAAATTGAGTGATCTAAAAAGGTAGGTGACCTTTTGTGACTTTTGAAATCCTTTCATCATCCTCCTATTGAAATATTTCATCTTCCTCGCTCCTAAAATGGCAATTTTAACTGGCCCGGGATAATAATTAGCCTTAAAATCATAATTATAAGATAATTGCGCACTTAGGCATGCTGCATTGAAGGTATTTGGGCTTTTTTGCAGGGGTGAAAGAGAAACTTATAACAACTAAATTTTTATTGATTTTTTTTGCTAAATTGCTGAAATGAGGCCTCTAATTTCTTCGTCCTACTCATCTACCATCTATCTTTTCTCAATTTTCGACTTTACAAGCCAACCGTTTTCTTTGGTTTTATCCCTTTCAAAAAATATGTACGATGGGGGAAGTGGGGGGAGGGGGAGCGAAGATAGCAAATTGAGCACTTCTTCAATTCACAATTAAATAGTTCACAATTAAACTCCAAAGCAAGATCATACGATTAGTCATGCGATGAGGCTGTTTATGTGTAACGATTAGTTTGCCAATCAGATTACCAGACCTGGAGTGAGGGACGGGGAGGGGGGGGGGGGGGAGTCCGAAAATTAGATTAGAAAATTAACTATTTTAATTGGCATAACTACTGAAATCGAGGAATCATCAAATTTTACAATCTTTGAAAGTCCAAAAAGGTCTTTTTTCTGCAAATACCCTCAAGCCCTCAATTAGAGAATGTCAAATGAGTTCTTATCCCCTATTTCCTCACAGTCCTATGGATATCAATTTAAGCTTCGAAATACAAATAGTCTATTTTCTTCATTAATTCATTGACTGCTTTGTTGAATTGTCAGTTCTTGGACTTTTCATAGCTTTTCCATCCAGATTCTTCTCTTTTTATATTATAAATATCCATCAAGGAGAGAATTTACTATAACTGTTCGTGGAAGTGAGTGCAGTAGAGGGAAAGTAATTTGAAGAGCATAAGGGATCGTGGTATCTTCTCATCCAATTGCTATTTCTTCAAATGATCTCTTATCAAGATACGTTAAGTAACTTCGATTTCAAAATTGAAATGTAATCAACGAGCGTATGGCGTATCTGAATTATCTACTTCACCAGCCAGCAAGGAAGAATCTAAATGCGCGAAAATTAAAAAGTGAAAGCACTAACCATTGGATATAACACGTAGTATGCTCAACTTCTGGTCCGATTGCGGAAAGATGATCGGTTTCACGCATATTTGCACTCCTTAACGTATCTTGGCTTATCTTTCCTCCTTTCTTATCCCTACTGAACTTTATGCACTTTCATATATTTAAATCACCTTCCCAACTTGCAAACAATATTTTTTTACCTCATTCAGTAGTGCCAATGATAAGTGCTTAGAATTCAGGTTCACAGACTATGATCGGAACTATTTTTATCCAGGTAGTGGGTCACAACTTACTAATGCATATTCTTGATCGTCAAAATGGCTCCAGCCGCACTTTGTTCAGTGGAGTACTTGAAGAGCTGATCCATAAGAATGACTTTGCAGAACCTCCATCGTCGGTTTCGATGATACCACCGCTGAGTGGCTTTGGGGTGAGCGTGCATTAGGTGTGGCTCTTCCCCATTCCTCGTCACATCCGTTAGAAGCGTAGATTGGCTAGTCGAGAGTTGGTTTTTCTTTGACCCGTTACTTTTCTGCTCGCTGATTTTGCTCGGTTTCAGCATAACCAAGTAGGAGTCTTTGAGCACCAGCCATCTATGTTAAAGAAGAATGAGATAAATGCTGAGATTTCTAAAAAAAGGGGGTTAGTTTACAAAATGGGACACCATGATTTTGGTTAATGAGACCTCAAGTAAAGTACACAGCCCAGATGTACTTAGGCTTTCTCACTCTTAAACATGTGTTCCCGCGAACTTTTTGTTTAATGTGCACAAAACCGTAAGAAAGTGACTTTGTAAATAATTTATCTTAATTTTTTGGGGGTTAGTTAAATATGCAACTTCGTGAAAGCTCCAGGGAAGAACGAAATTGAAAAGCAATGTCTGAATAGATTTTATTTCGCCATTAAGCGTTAGGTGCCAAACAGCTGACAAACCAATAATTTATGGAATATTTGAGGCTCAATACAAATAACCAGAAAACCAAAAATTCCTTTGACTTTTACTTGTGTTGAACATGATTTAACTTAAAGACCAACTTCCTCCGAAATATTCGTTAAATTCAACTGGATCGAATGCTTAAATCGCGTTTCATTTTGCTTCAAACGAGAGCTCTAATCTCTAGCGAGGCACAGATCTCCGTAGTTAGCAGATATCAATTTTTATGCCAAAACCGATGGCATTGAAGTTTTTAAGTAATTTAATAAGTAAAAGGCTTAACTGTTGTCTTCTTAACAATGCATTCGTAAGCGATGACACAATTCAATCACTTCGAAGGGAATTCAAACTGACAAAAAAGCTTAACAAGACCAAAGTCGATTGATTTTTTTAATGGTGAAGTCAAAACCTTGTTCGTATCTTTTAAATTTTAGCAAAAGGTTTATAATTCGTCATCAGTCCTTAAGGCGCTTTCAGTCATAAGCAAAATGGGACGACGAGCTAGAAAAACAAGAACGATTGATGTTATTTGAAAATCCTAAAGAAAAGCCAAAAAGCCATCAATTCAAATTCCAAGAAAAAACTGGAATCTGCACACAAGTTGGTAGGTGGTCGCCTTGCTATTACAAGCATCCACGGCGTGAGGGAGTGCTTCACAAATTGAATGTTAAAGCCATAAAGCCACTCATTCCACTCTTCACGTGAATTTGTCATGCTTCAGTATACATTGATTCGCGTATGGTGCAGAGGCACTGGCAGACACTTGAGCACGGAAGAGCAAGAGAGAGAGAGAGAGTAAACACAGGGGTTTTACGAGGCCAACATTTAATTGATGCTTAAGTACGCAAATGCGCTATGGAGTTTGAAATGCTCTCCACAGATTTCAGGCCTACAGCGTCTGCACTTCTTAGTCAGAAAAGCAGAGCACACTAGGCCAATGAAATCACTTTTTTTAATTAGGGGTCAAACGCACTTTGTAAACTTTTTAGGTTGGGACAACATTGACATTATTGACATCAGGTTATGGGGAGATTCACGATCTTAATGGAGGGGGGGGGGACATTTTGGAATTATAGGTAGCCAAGTATAAAAGGAATTCGTTGTTAAATCAAAATATAAAAGGTAAAATCATTCGTCTAATTAAAAAAAACTGTTCTTTGTCTTCCTAACTTGACTTTGAGCATCTTGAAGTGATTATAAAAGTCAGTATATGAAATCTGAACTTTTCCTCATGCATCGTATGGAACGGATCAAGACATAGGTACAATCATTTTGTTTTTCGTGAGGATCTAATTTTCTAGAAAATGGAGATTTTATAAGTGATTGGGCTTTGTTGCTTGCGAAAGAGAATTTGTTGTACTAAGTTAAAAAATTAGAGACCAATGAATTTGCCCTTTTAAAAATCTCAGTGAGATTTATTGATGATTACTTCATTTCAACTATTTCACTGAATTGCGTGATGCCTTTCATTTATCTTCGAAATTTTGACTGTACTTCAGTAAAACAAAAATATCGAAATTCGACTTTTTTTCATCATTCGATTACTCGTTAAAAAATATTATTATCCGCATTTTAGCGCACGATAGGTACTACACTTTGCATAAGACATTAGAAATAGCCAATAAACGGACAATAGAAGGGCATTAGAAAAACTTCCCTCAGAAGTTAGTACAGCCAGTTGGAATTACTTGAATATTCCAGAGTTGTTTTATTGTTAGTAGCCAGACTTAGACGAAAAGCCAACTTCAAGTTCATCTTCTTTGTAGTTTAAGTTTAATGGAATGCTTTAAATTTCATGCTCAAATATGTCAAAAAGTTACAAATCTTTTTTTCATTTATGCGAACAAATAAACAAATACAGTTTAGATTGTTGGTTAAGAGTTCAGAGGCAAACAACTGATTGAATTTACATTTTCAACTCTAAACACGACTGTTTTGAACAAATATTTTGACGTTTTAAGCAAGAAAAGCGACTTTTCAAGTCCTTAAATTGAGAGCATTTGGATTAGTTTTGCAACAAATATACAATTTCTTCGCTATAGGCAGAAGTAAGTTCTCACAATTACTAGGATATGATAACATTTCATACTTTACTAAATCCCTATGTTCATCTAATAGGAATCCAGAAAAAAAGCTTACAATTTAATCAGTATTTTTTAGAAACCTGACGACATCGATTCTCGCCTCGAAAAGAATAAGTCCGTACCTCAAGAAAAATCAAGCGTAACTGTTGAAGCGAGGCGCTACCAACTCCGTGAGAATGTTGGCACCCAAGGAAAGTGCAGCCTCTGTAGTATCGACGAAATTTCTGTTTCCTTGACATAATTATCAACATGGACTTTTGGTGCGCGATAGACACTACCGCCACGTGGTGTGCACCCTACGCAACGTATACTCACTTGGCAAGAAAAGGTCTATAAACTGGCAGTTGACTTCTGACTTCAAACTATCACGACCCCACCAGATGTCATATTCCACCACTTCCGCCGTACTCACCTCACCTAACATTTTCTCTACCTTTGTGTCTGTTTCTTTTACATCTGTCAATCATAATTCTGTTCCCCCTCTCGACTTTTTGTGATTTCGATATTCCTCCTCTCTGTGAAGCCCGAAGTCAACTAATAGGTTGACAGCTATCAGAAAGCCTGCCATTTGATATGAATAAAAGATCAGCAAGGAATGGCATTTCTATTGATTGTAATACCGGGTTATCATTGGGGGTAATTGAATCGATGCGCATTTCAGATACCTTATTACTCGAATAAACGGAAGTACTGACGCTTTGGCTCCAACCTGAACTGAGGAATGAGCAAGTAAAATCCTCTAATATTGTAGCCTACAAGTCAAGCTTTCTCATACTTGGAGAGTAAAATGTCTACTTGTTTTTTTTCTTAAATATTGGTTATTGAAAAATTAGTTCAACTATTAATTTAAGAAACGGCCGAGTTCATTCCTCCTCGGACTCAATTAGCTAACTTTTCAAATTTTAAGCCGTTTATTTTCCGAACGATTTGATGAACGCAAATTTTAATCTCCTCCAAGCTTACTCTCCGCCTTGATAAGGACATTTTTCTCAAAATTTTATTTTAAAGCTGCGTTAATTACTTGTCAATAGCTAAAAATTCCTTAAAAATTCGCTAATTCGATTGCAGAGTCAAATACTAATCTGGATAGGGGGATTAAAAAAAGAGGAATTTCTCATTAAGAATACTTGCAATTATCTGAAAATTAGATCTCTGTGAGTCTATTCACATGTGGAATTGTAAATGAATGTGAATCCGATTGAATGGCACTGTATTCAAGCCGATTAACCCTGTGCAATACCTCATCGATTTAAAGCGGAATCGATATCTCACCAGCGGGGTGTGCGATAGACTTACCTCCACGTGATGCACCC